GAATCTAATTTCTTTGTGATCGCTGTTTGCAAGTTCGTTCCCTACCTCGACATTGCTAATGAGGTTTTCTCTGTTTGACAGAACTAAATCGAGTATATTATTACCCCGGGTGGGTTCGGTTATATGTTGACTTAGAAAACAGTCCTGGATCGTCTCGAAAAAATCCTCTGATTCTGAGTTACCTGTAAGGTCAGTCCAATCTATTTGGCCAAGGTTAAAGTCGCCTACTATACAGAATTTGTTTTGTATGGAAGCCCTGAGAATTTCATCCCAGATAAGTCGCTCATTGACTCTATCAAGTTTGGGAGGTCTATATATTACTCCTGTGATTAATTTTTCCCTACCGTCGATTAGTTCTATCCAAATTGTTTCTGTATTCCGCTCAGTTTTTATTTCCTTATTTATTTCACACTTCAGATTATCCCTAACATAGATTGCTACTCCGCCTCCTTTCCTGGTCTGCCTATCGGTATGGAACAGTTTGTAACCCGCAATTTGGTATTCGATCGGTAACTCACGTGAGTCTATGTTGATCCATGTTTCAGTGAATGCTATTATATCGAATTTTTCGGTACATACCAAGGCCCTAATATCATCCATTTTGTTTCTCATACTTCTACTGTGGTGGTGTAACACTGTGGTGTTGTATCAATGTGATGTTATAACAAAGTGGTGGTGTAACACTGTGTTAGGGAAACACTGTGGTGTTGTAACAAAGTGATGTTTTAACAGTGTAGTGGTGTAACACAGTGTTGGCGTAACAAAGTGATGCTGAAACGCTGTGGTGATGTAACACTGTGATGTTGTAATACTGTGATGGTGTCACACTATGATGGTGTAACGCTGTGATTCTGTAACACTACGATGGTGTAACACTCTAGAGCTGCAATACTGCGATGGTGTAACAACGTGGAGGTGTAACACGGTGGTGTAACACTATGATGGTGTAACACAGAAGTAATGTAACAATTTGATGGTGTAACACTGTGATGGTGTAACACTGTGGTTGTGTAACACGACAGTAGTGTAAAAATGTGATGGTGTAACACTGTGATGGTGTAACACTGTGATGGTGTAACACTGTGGTGGTGTAACACTGTGGTGGTGTAACATTATGATGGTGTAACACTGTGGTTGTATAACACGACAGTGGTGTAAAAATGTGATGGTGTAACACTGTGATGATTTAACACTGTGATGATGTAACACTGCGATGGTGCAACACTGAAACGATTACTTCCTAGTAGCAATGTAACAGTATAACACAGTAATGGGGAGAACATAATATCTCTACCTTTACCAACTGTGTATCTGTTGAGGTGACTGTTACTTATTTATAACAGCTACTTGTGAAGCTGTCATATATTTAACAACCTTCCTGGTTTGTCACCGTTTGTAACAATCACTTGTACTAACATATAGATCAAAGTTTATTGGATCTTCTGTAGTGAAATTAAATATGTTCCTTTTGTTTGTTTCTTATAAAAAGAGTTCTATGTAAACTTTCGAAAAGGATTATCACTTCAACTTAATCTTTGTGGCTATGAGTGTTAAATGAGGACGGAGGCTATCTTAAATAGCTCTGCTAAGTACGTCCTGTCGATGTGAGAGTTTGAGTGAGAATCAGTAGGGACCCTTAAGGGAGAACGGAAATATATCCGACGTCCTCCCTCGAGGAAGACGGGTCACCTCAACGATGACTAAATAACGTCTTCCTCAGAGAGCCGGTTACTTAATCCTTAGCTCAGCACCAAGTGACGCGACTTCTCATAAGAACATAAGAAACTAAGGAGTCTGCAATACGCCGGTTGACCTGTGCATGGCAGCTCTTGTCGAGAGTTTCTACCACTCTCTATCATCCATGAATCTATCTAGCCTCCTTTTAAAACTTTCCAGCGTTCCAGCACTTACTACAAAGTTGCTAAGCTTGTTCCACTCGTCCACCAACCTATTTGTGAACCAGTTCCTTCCTATCTCCCTCCTTATCACGTGCTCTGAACATGAGCCAAATAGCGAGTGGAAAGTTACAGGGGGTGATAGTTATACAAGTCTAATGAATTAACCCATATTTATATAAATACATCTGCCTATAAGACAGGGGCTAATACAACACTGTGATGGTGCAACATTTTGGTGGTGTAACAGTGTGATGGTGTAACACTGTGAATGTGTAATACTATGATGGTGTAACACTGTGGTGGTGTAACACTATGATGGTGTAACACTGTGGTTGTGTAACACGACAGTGGTGTAAAAATGTGAAGGAATCAATAAAGGTGATATAGATAAAGTTCGTATAATATCCGAGCAGGATAGGACTCGAAACAACGGATTTAAGTTGGATAAGTTTAGGTTTAGGAGGGAGATAGGAAGGAACTGGTTTACAAATAGGGTGGTGGACGAGTGGAACAAGCTTAGCAACTTTGTAGTAAGTGCTGGAAGGCTGGAAAGTTTTAAAAGGAGGCTGGATATATTCATGGATGATAGAGAGTGGTAGTAACTCTCGACAGGAGTTGCCATGCACAGGCCAACCGGCCTATTGCAGACTCCTTATTTTCTTATGTTCTTATGTGTAACACTGTGGTGATGTAACACTGTGATGGTGTAACACTGTGATGGTGTAACACTGTGATGGTGTAACACTGTGATGGTGTAACACTGTGGTGGTGTAACACCATGATGGTGTAACACTGTAGTTGTGTAACACGACAGTGGTGTAAAAATGTGATGGTGTAACACTGTGATGGTGTAACACGACAGTGGTGTAAAAATGTGATGGTGTAACACTGCGATGGTGTAACACTGTAGTTGTGTAACACGACAGTGGTGTAAAATGTGATGGTGTAACACTGTGATGGTGTAACACTGTGATGGTGTAACACTGTGGTGGTGTAACACCATGATGGTGTAACACTGTAGTTGTGTAACACGACAGTGGTGTAAAAATGTGATGGTGTAACACTGTGATGGTGTAACACGACAGTGGTGTAAAAATGTGATGGTGTAACACTGCGATGGTGTAACACTGTAGTTGTGTAACACGACAGTGGTGTAAAATGTGATGGTGTAACACTGTGATGGTGTAACACTATGATGGTTTAACACTGTGGTGGTGTAACACTGTGGTTGTGTAACACTGTGATGGTGTAACACTGTAGTTGTGTAACACGACAGTGGTGTAAAATGTGATGGTGTAACACTGTGATGGTGTAACACTATGATGGTGTAACACTGTGGTGGTGTAAAACTGTGGTGGTGTAACACTGTGATGGTGTAACACTGTGGTTGTGTAACACGACAGTGGTGTAAAAATGTGATGGTGTAACAGTGTGGTGGTGTAACACTGTCATGGTTTAACACGTAATGGTGTAACACTGTGATGGTGCAACCATGTGGTGGTTTAACACTGCAATGGTGTAACACCGTGATGGTGTGACACTGTGGTGTAACGCGATGGTGGTGTAACACTGTGATGGTTTAACACTGTGGCGATGTAACACTGTGATGGCGTAACACGGTGGTAATGTAAGAGTGAGATGGTGTAACACTCTGATGGTATAACGCTGTGATGGTGTAAGAAGGTGGTGGTGTAACAAGGTGGTGGTATAACACTGTGACGCTGTAACACGTTGGGTGTGTAACACTGTGGTGGAGTAACACTGTGATGGTGTAACACTGTGGCGGTGTAACACTGTGGTGGTGTAACACTGTGGAGGTGTAATTCTGAGGCGGTGTAACACTGTGGTGGTGTAACTCTGCGGTGGTGTAACACTGTGGTGGTGTAACACTGAGTTGGTGAAACACTGTATAGGTGTAACACAGAGGGTGAAGCGTAATTCTGTTACTACCGATCAGAATGATTACACATGAACTGGCCGACGAATCGTGATTGCATCCATCAGAACAAATAACAACACTTCAGAGTGCGGACCACGTGACGTAAGGAATTCCAATCATCCGTGGGAAAAACTCTCCTCACCCTGCACAGGAAATATGATAAAACAGCGGTGTGTTGATCTTGGCGTCAACTTAAACACCAACGGGGAGGTGAAATTCGTTTTCTGCACTGCACGTGACCTAAAAACAACTTAGATGCTTGAAGAAAAAGGATTGTGAAGTTTCCCAAATGTTCGTGCAAAAGTTTCATGACAGTTAAAGAAATAAAGAAATAAGTTTAAGTTTTAAAATCCTCACACTGGAAAATGTCCTCGTGTTAAGAAAAATACATATATGGAAAAATATGTTCTAACTTATTGTTGCATATAATTTTCTTGTGTGATTATGCTTCTTGGTTCCGAAGCAGGAGAGAGAGAGAGAGAGAGAGAGAGAGAGAGAGAGAGAGAGAGAGAATCGGTTTTTTTGAAAATCAATTAACATGGAAAAATATTTTCTGACTCGAGAATTGTGACATATTTCAGGAAAAAATTTCTCTCGGTTTAAATCAATTTATGGCTCAGCATATCAAGGGAAGAAATTAACAGGCATCTATATATAGCGTCTATTTTACCTTGTAAGCAGAAAAGAAAATCAGTAGTGTTCCCGAATCTCCCAGCATAAGACATAGAGAACATGGAATACCACCACGTGTTACCAGTGACAATTTAAATACGTTTTATACTCTGATTAAAATCATCCAAGTTCAGTGCATCAAGGCAGTTCCTCTCACCGTGAGCTTCGAAATGATTTACTAAAATGACTGGTCTCCTCAGTGAACCCAAACTTTCATTGGGATTCAACCCTGTCTAGCAGAATTTTGAATCTGATCTGAAATGCATGAGCTCATAAAGGAACATACACACACACACATACACACACACACACACACACACATACACACACACACACACACACACACACACATGCTAAATTATTACTATAATCTCTCTCTGAGAAGGCTGTAGCTGTAGTTACTTTATATTATAATATGCAATTACACTCGAAAATATTACAATACCTCTACCTCTCCATGTATAGTATGTGCTATGGTAGTACTTATTTACCTGTACTTGCGCTGGTTCTCTATGACCTGCATGTGTCCGTGCGGGCAGCCCCGGTCCTTGTGGGAGTTGAGCTTGCCCAGCGAGAACTTGTGGAAGGCCAGCTGTATGAGGTCACCATGCGGGCCCCCGGCGGCCACCAACGTCAGATTGCACACAGGGATTCTCCTGCTCTGGAGGGGCCAATGGATCTGCAACTCGTAAGTCTTACCCACGCTGCCATAGTACACCCGGTTACATTCTGTCAAGATACAAAAAGCCATGATTAGTGCTAACTCTCATACGCGGGGTGTAGTGAAAAACCTCGTACACACACACACACACACACACACACACACACACATATATATATATATATATACAGAGAGTTCTTCAAGTAAACATCCTGGATTGATCCTTGCATCTCCAAGTTGTTAAAAGAAAATAAGTTTCATCTGATCTTAAAATTTTGAAGATATTTGCATATTCAAATTACATATTTCTTTTTTTCCATTACGATAACATCCACAAACAAAGTCTGAAGACTTGTAAAATGTTATTTCTGGTGTGGGGAAAAATTGGTTCACCCCCAAATTGGATTTTGGTTCATGTTAACCCTGAACCGCAAGAGACGGCGGCCGCCAGTCACCAGGGGGAGGACAGAGGGAGGGAAGGAGAAAGTGAGGGAAGAGTAAGGGATGGGAGAGACATGGAAAGAAGGAAAAAATTCCGTTGATATGAGGAAATGGAGGAAAGATGGGAAGGAGGAAGAGTAAACCACAGAAGAGGAAAGGAGAGAAGGAAAAGGTGAAATAATTAATAAAAGGAGAAGAAAGAGAAGAGAAGAAAGGGAGGAGTAAGGAAGTGGAAGAAAAATGTACGAAATTGAAGAGGGAAAGAAAAGAAAAGAAGTTAGGGAAAACGCTCAGAAAAGGAGACAGATAAGGTTGAAGGGGCTGAGTGCAAAAAGAATGAAAAGCAGATAGTTAGAGAGAGAGAGAGAGAGAGAGAGAGAGAGAGAGAGAGGGGGAAATGAATGGAAACGACAAGTAAAGAAGAAGGGAAGTAAAGAAAGAAACATTAAGCACAGAGACACTGAGAAATATATTTACTGTAGATAACTGACATATCAAGAGTATACTGCACGTTCAATAGGGAAGGAGAGAGTAAATTCCTTAAAATGATTTAAAATGAAACGAATCTCTGAAGACTGAAATAAGAGATACGAACTTAAAGGAATCCGAATTTTGGAAAGATCCGGATTCGATGGGTTTCCAATCCTCGTGAAACCTCCTCAGTTTTGATGAGAAATGCAAATTATGAGAAGAACAAACATTTCATCATTGAAAAACAAAATTAATAAAGAGAGATAATATGATTTTAAAAAAGTAGCAAAAATGACGTAAAACAAATAAAGAATAAATGTTAAAAGGAATTATGTAAATAAAGATGATAAAAGGACTAAGACTTACACAGAAAAAAATTAATAAAAATTTGTCATTGCTGCATGATAATGATCAGCTTCTCGGAGATCATTAATTATCGGGGAGGATAATTTATAGTCATATTTTCGTGCTAAATATTCCCTGCCAATCCTTGCTCCTATTATATATCAATGCCGGACACCCTGATTACTAGTCTGGCTATTATTATTGAGATTAATAAAAGACTCTCTCTCTCTCTCTCTCTCTCTCTCTCTCTCTCTCTCTCTCTCTCTCTCTCTCTCTCTCTCTCTCTCTGTGGTGAACGCACTCCTCAATGCTAAAACCCTTGAGAGAACATACACACAGGTGGGAGGAAACCACATCACTTCAGGGTAAACAGAAATGTGAGGTGAAGAATATAAGACAGACAGACAGACAGACAGACAGACAGAGGGAAATAGACAGAGAGGAAGTGGTATTGGCTCTAAATGAGAAAAAGAGAGGGCATTAATAGATGTACAGTGGATATGCTGTTACAGGAGACAAAGTGAGAAAGATAGAAAGAGAGAATGATAATAACTGTTATAAGAGAGAGACGGAGAGAAGGGGGAGATATAAAGATAATTAACTATAGAAGGCAAAGAATACATTATGAAAGGATCAGAAGAAGAAGAAGAAGAAGAAGAAGAAGAAGAAGAAGAACAAGAAGAACAAGAACAAGAACAAGAAGAACAAGAACAAGAACAAGAACAAGAAGAACAAGAAGAACAAGAAGAACAAGAAGAAGAAGAAGAAGAACAACAACAACAACAACAACAACAAGAACAAGAACAAGAACAAGAAGAACAAGAACAAGAACAAGAACAAGAAGAACAAGAAGAACAAGAAGAACAAGAAGACGAAGACGAAGAAGAACAAGAAGAAGAAGAAGAAGAAGAAGAAGAAGAAGAAGAAGAAGAAGAAGAATCATTGTATTTGTTCAAGAGGAAAAGTGAAAAAGAGAATGTTGCATTTACGATTGAAGAGAGAGTCAAAAGAGAGAGAAAGAGAGTGACGTTGCCGCGTGTGTTGTGGCAAGCAGAGGGCCGAGCAGCATGTGGGAGGGTGTGTGGCTGAACAACACACGCTGGGCACGTATCACCACCACGCTCCCAGAATCTCCTCACCTATATATTGCCTCCACCTTACCACCCCTACCACCTACCTCCTTACCTACCTCCACCTTACCTACCTCCACCACCTACCTACCTCCCACCTACCTCCCCCACCTACCCCACCTACCCACTCCACCTACCTACCTCCTCCACCTCCTACTCCACTACCTCCCCCCACCTACCACCTACCTACCTTCCACCTTGCCTCCCACCTTACCTACCCCCCACCACCACCACCTCCCACCCCCCCCCCTCCCACCCCACCCTGCCTACCTCCCTACCTACACACTCCCACCCCCCACCTCCCACCTTACCTACCTCCCCACCTTACCTCCCACCTCCACCCACCTCACCTCCCACCACCTACCTCCTACCTCACCTTACCTCCCCCACCATACCTACCTCCCTTCCCTTCCTTCTAGATCTCACTCCTTGGCCTGCCTGGTTCTACTATTACTCTCTCTCTCTCTCTCTCTTTTGTCTCTCTCTTCACAGCCGAAACATGTAGGCACCTCTGCACTCTAAATAAAAGGGTCTGTCCGTCTGTCTTTCTGCCTCTCTCTCTGTCCAACAAAACCAACAGTACCCCGACTTTACCAAAAATGTACAATTTTACCGACTACCTACATAAGAATACCACTCCCCTACACTTTATATACAACCACTCAACCTCACAAAGAATACAACCAACTCACTCCACACTACACTTTATATACAAACACTCAACCTTCACAAAGAATACAACCACTCCACCTACACTTTATATACAACCTCAACCTCACGAGAATAACAACTCCACCTGCTTTTATACAAACACAAATACACAAGAATACAACCACTCCATCTACACTTTATATACAAACACTCAACCTTACTGAATACAACTCTACCCACCTACACTTTATATACAACACTCAACCTACACAAAGAATACAACCACTCCAACACACTCAACACAAAGAATACAACCACTCCACCTACACTTTATATACAACCACTAACTACACAAAGAATACAACCACTCCACCTACACTTTACTCAACTACACTACAACCACTACACTTTATATACAACACTCAACCTACACAAAGAATACAACCACTCCACCTACACTTTATATACAACCACTCCCACCACACAACCACTCCACCTACACATACAACCACTCCACTTTATATACAACCACTAACCTACACAAAGAATACAACCACTCCACCTACACTTTATATACAACCCTCCACCTACACAAAGCCACAACCCTCCACCTACACTTATATACAACCACTCAACCTACACAAAGAATACAACCACTCCACCTACACTTTATATACAACCACTCAACCTACAAAGAATACACCCCCACCTACACTTTATATACAACCACTCAACCTACACAAAAGAATACAAACACTCTACTAAAGAATACACCTACACTTTATATACAACCACTCAACCTACAAAGAATACAACCACTCCACCTACACTTTATATACAAACACTCAACCTACAAAAGAATACAACCACTCCATACACTTATATACAACCACAAACCTTCACAAAGAATACAACCACTCCAACCACTCACCTACACTTTATATACAGCCACTCAACCTACACAAAGAATACAACCACTCCACCTACACTTTATATACAACCACCTCAAAAATACAACCACTCCATCTTCTATATATGCAAACCTCAACCTACACAAAAATACAACCCTCCACCTACACTTTATATACAGCCACTCAACCCTACACAAAGAATACAACCACTCCACCTACACTATATACAACCACCAGCACACAAAGATATACAACCACCTACACAACCTACACTTTATATACAACCACTCAACCTACACAAAGAATACAACCACCCACCTACACTTTATATACAACCACTCAACCTACACAAAGATACAACCACTCCACCTACACTTTATATACAACCACTCAACCTACACAAAGAATACAACCACTCCACCTACACTTTATATACAAACACTCAACCTACACAAAGAATACAACCACTCCACCTACACTTTATATACAACCACTCCACCTACACAAAGAATACAACCACTCCACCTACACTTTATATACAAACACTCAACCTACACAAAGAATACAACCACTCCACCTGCACTTTATATACAAACACTCAACCTTCACAAAGAATACAACCACTCCACCTACACTTTATATACAACCACTCAACCTACACAAAGAATACAACCACTCCACCTACACTTTATATACAACCACTCAACCTTCACAAAGAATACAACCACTCCACCTACACTTTATATACAACCACTCAACCTACACAAAGAATACAACCACTCCACCTACACTTTATATACAACCACTCAACCTACACAAAGAATACAACCACTCCACCTACACTTTATATACAAACACTCAACCTTCACAATTAATTCGCTCGTTAGTCATGTATAGAGATGTGACTGATAACTCCTATGGACAACTCAGACAAGTATTGAATTATTCTTTTGATTTATGTGGTAGACCTTAATGGTACTGAGATTATGGTGTACAGAACTTCTATTTTGTTTACATCCTGCACTGTAGGTCAGTTATACACACACACACACACACACACACACATATATATATATATATATATATATATATATATATATATATATATATATATATATATATATATATATATATATATATATATGATAACCACAAGGAAAGAAAACACAAAGTTCCTAAGCGCTTGTGTAATTCACATCTTCCTTGATTTATCAGCATAATATATATATATATATATATATATATATATATATATATATATATATATATATATATATATATATATATATATATATATATATGTGTGTGTGTGTGTGTGTGTGTGTGTGTGTGTGCGTTACCTCGGTAGTTAACTAGGAGAAGAGACAGAGAGAGAATATTGTAAAATAAATTCGATATTATTACTACTACTACTAATAATAATAATAGATATAGTGATGATAATAATATAATGTTCCATTTAGGTTCCAGTGTGTGGTCCTAGAAAGACTTTGTCCACACTACACTCCTGGCTACATCACCTCCCTCTCTTTACATAATCTCATCATACATGTGCTGGGTTAAAATTGAGGCTCTCTACGCACCTGACAATAAGATAACCATGTATGTATATTAAATGATACCATGATAGGTAAAAAATTTTCTACACGTATAATAACAACATTTTTAATAGATGAGCTGAACACGGATATAATACAGTGTCGTGAGTAAACCTTAGACATTTATAATGATAGTTCCATCCCTAAGCCCAATGCCCACACCACTCGCAGGTGATAAATACTCTATTGTTACCTGCCCGTGATAAGTATGGAGTTCACTGCTACTCCTTTTTCTCTTTATGCTGTTTCTTTATTTGTCAGGGAGGACAAAGGCGAAGCAATTTTCATGAAGGTATCGCTTCTACCTTGTGAATATATGGTTTGAATTAAGTGTGTGTGTGTGTGTGTGTGTGTGCGCGTGTGTGTGTGTGGGTTGTTTTCTAGGTTCCCTTATAGTGGTACTTTAAACCTGTTATATATGTTAATGACACACACACACATACACACACACCAAAAGATAGAAAAATAGTAAGAGAGAGAGACAGATAAGAAAAACGACGAAAAAAAACGAAAAATTAACACAAAGAAAGAAAGAAAGATTGAAAGAAAGAAATAGTGGAGAGAGAGAGAAAGAAATAGAGAGGGGGAGATGGGAAGGAACCAGCTGGCCAGATCAATGACAGGCACCTAAATAAATTTTGCTCCCGCATCCACAATTCAAGAGGAAAGATTCATAACGATTAAGTGGAGCTCAAAAAATACTAGTGTGTTGCGGGGAAGAGTTATGGCCTATTTCCGAGCGATGATTTGTGGGAAAACGGATGAAAATTAGGGAGGAAGCTGGAGGGGACCTAACTAATAATGATAATAATAATATCACTGGAACTCCATACCCAAAAAAAATTAATATTTATACTGAAAAATAATAATATTGTTATATACGTAAATTTTATTTGGTTAGAGTAAGGTATAGGTTATGTCATGTTAAAGGTGGGTTGGGTTATGTTAGGTTAGGTTATGTTAGGTTAAATGAAGTTCGTCGAGGAGTTGGGTAGTTTACGTTTGATTAGGAGCTAGTTACGTTCGGTTAGATTAGGTATCGATTAGGTTAGGTTACGTTTAATAAGGTTAAGTGAGGAATTAGTAAGGTTAGGATAGGATAGGTGTCGAGGAAGTTAAGCTTAGTATTGGTTGAGTTGTGTTGAATTTGGTTAGGTTAAAGCAAGTAAGTTGGTCCTGCCTCGGATTATAATGAATAAATTGCACTTCAAAGCGATGCTTATTGAACCCATTACAACGGAGGGTTCGATATTGACGGAGTAAGGGGTCGCATCAGAAGTTCAAAGTTAGCACGATACCATTTTTGGGGAATCTGTTGGTGTTTTGTGATACGAAAATGTTCATAGGCTTATTCAGAGTCCTGAAAAGGGGTGTTGTGATATTTTTAACACTTTAAATGATCCTTAAACATGTACAAAGATAATAAACTTAGGCGTGCAAGGAATACTTATTGGGGTTGTAAACACCAGTAACTGGAGGTGATGGTGAAAGATGGGAGAGAGAGGGGGGGGGTGGGAAGAAATATAGATGCAGAGGTAAGGAATGCATGAGAGATAATGAAATGGGAGAAAAGGGAAAGATAGAATTGAAAGAAATAGAAATTGGACAGAGAATGAAAGAGAAAAAGTAACAGTGAATAAGAGAAAAATAAAGAAATATATTGAGGAGGTGACAGCCAGCTCGGTCACGAACAAAATACTGTATATAGAGTATGCGATATAGACGGAGGGTAATACAAATTTTTGGTTTCTATGTCATGAAACGTTCAGTAGAGTTTATAGACGAACACAGTGATTCTATACGTTAATTTCCAGGTGCGTACAGTAAGGACAGTTTTACCAAAAGTGTGACCCGAGTATATACAGCGCCCCACCCCCTACACACGCGCACACTGGGACAGTCACACTTATGGAATTAAGCCCTTAAGGCAAATCAATGACGACTGAGAATTGCAAGTACTCGAGATAATGGTGAAAGAATGTAATTCAAGTAATATAATTAAATTCAATAAATGAGGAGAGAGAAGGAGCTTAACCTCGTGCGCGGTAATTCCCAGTGTGGGTTTTTATATTTATTTTAGGATAAGTCAAAAGCGATAATTCAGTTGTGGTGTTGGGTGAGCACCATCGCCGAGACGGCTACCTGAGATGGAGTCTTTGTCATCTGTTCCGGGGCTTAACTCTTCCTGTATTGGAAAATAAAGTAGCGTGGTAAGTGCATAATGCAATGCAGTACCTCTCGTGTGTGTGTGTGTGTGTGTGTGTGTGTGTGTGTGTGCGCATGGTCGAAAGCATAAACATAAACACAGATCAAATGCAAAAACAAGCTATACAACTTTTTGTGGTCGCTGCATGGAATGTCAAGACCCTTCTGGATACTGGCACAAATGAGAGTCCTGAAAGAAAAACCGTCCTTAAGGCAAAAGAGCTGGCTAGGTATAACATCGACATAACAGCCATTAGTGAGTCCGGCTCCCAGACGATAGTCGGCTCACAGAACCGGGGTCTGGCTGTATCTTCTTCAGGAAGGGTAAGCCTGCTGCGGAGAGAAACAGCATTTATGGAGTTTGCTTTGCTATTTACTAATCTATCTTACATTGGCTAACTGAAATGGCTGTTGGGATTAACGAGCGCCTCATGACGCCCAGAGTCCCACTGAATCACTCACGTCATGCCTTCTCCATCAGTACTTACATACCAACACTGGATGCAGAGGATGACATCAAGAAGGCCATTTATGCCGAATGTGCTCCTAAGTAACTTCAATGCCAAAATTAGCAGAGATGTTAACATGTGGCAGGGAACCATAGAGAGAAGAGGAGTAGGTAAGTGTAATCCCAACGGCCTACTCCTCCTCAGCAAGTGTGCTGCACACAACCTCACTCTCACCAATACCTTGTCAGAGGAAGAGATCACCGAGATGTCCTCATCACCCGAGCATTCAGTCCACAGTGACACAGATCATAGCTCATAGCTTCCAAAAGAAGAAAGCGGCCGCCCAACACCAACTTCGCAATCTAAAGACCGAATGGTTGATAAATAGAGCCTTTGAAATGCAAAAGCTTGCAGATCAACACAAGATGCACGAATTTTTCAATTCCACTAAAACATTTTATGGGTCAATCACTCATGTTGCAGCCCCCATCCGCCCATCAGATAGCAACTCCGTAATTAAAGACGAAAAGGGCATTCTTCAGTGCTGGAAAGAGCACAACCATTTGCTGCTCACCCAAAACATCGATGTGGATGCCCTGATTACCTAGCAAGTTCCTAAGCACCCAGAGGTGACACTCCTCAGCTATCCTCCATCTTGGATGAGGTAGCTACTCCCATTAAGCAGATGAAATATAACAAAGCCTCAGGGCCTTATGGAATCCCAGACGAGGTGTATAAGGCAGGAGGACCTCTGCTTACCAGCCGTCTCCACTCTCTCCTGGAGAATATATGGGAAAAGGAGGCAATCCCCAAGCTCATAAAGACCCCTCCATCGTCAATATTTATAAGAACAAGGGAAACCAGTCAGATTATGGCAACTACCGCGGAATCTCGCTGCTGCCCGTACCTTGCAAGTTATGACCCAAGTCCTCCAAAACAAACTTTTTCCCGAGGCGGAAAATTTCCTCCTAGAATCTCAAAATGTCTTTAGACCACCAGATACAGAAAAAGTGCAGAGAACAGGGTAGTGGCCTGTACATGGCTTTCATTGACCTTACCAAAGCTTTCTACTCGGTCAACACGGAAGGCCTCTAGCGGACCCTGAGTCGTTTTGACTGCCCACCAAAATTCATCGCCATTGTGAGACAACTCCACGATGGCGTGAACCGAAGTTGTCCTGCACAGTGGCCCCCAGTCTGAGTTCTTCCCCATTCAAACAGCGGTAAAACAAGGATGTGTACTGGCACCAACACTATTTTCCATTTTCTTGGCTGCCTTCTTTACTCGTGCTAGTGCCAATTTAGCCGGCGGGGTGGACATCGAGTACCGAATGAAGGGACATTTCAGGATAAGACAATTCCAGGCAGAAACAAAGATATCAGCAGCTTCCATTACTGAACTTCAGTATGCAGACGAACACCCCTTGTCACTCACACTAAACGCGACCTACAGGAGATCCTGAACACCTATGCAGATGCATAGGCACACCTCGACCTTGAGGTGAATGTACGTAAGCCTCAGATTCTCTTTCAGCCTGCCCCTGGTTTAACCACACCTCCACCATCCATCTACTTTCAGTATCTGCACTCCCACCTGTCGACCACCGCGGACATCGATGAAAAAATTTAACATCAGATCAGATTGTGCATCTCCAGCCTTTGGCAGAGTCCGTACCTGTGTCTTCAGCTGTAGGGACCAAAAATTATCTACAGAGTTGCATGTATATCGATCAGTGTTTCTTCTCATCCTGCTATATGGCAGCGAGACATGGGTCACATATAAGAGGCGCCTCAAGGCACTTGAAAACTTTTACCAACATAGTCTACATTTCATCCTCCGAGTTCGCTGGGAAGACAAGAGAACAAATGCCGGTATTCTCGCTGACACCAACTGTAGAAGCCTGGAGGCTACAATTATCCATGAGCAACTATGCTGGACTGGCCATGTTACCCGTATGGACGACAGTAGACTGTCAAAGCAGCTACTTTACAGTGACCTGACGAATGGTAAACATAAAGCTGGCGTATAAGGATAGTCTTCAGACAAACCTAAGTTCCAAATCGACCCCCTCACCTGGGAGACGATCACTCCACACCATGAGGCTTAGAGGAGCACCGCACGAGAAGGGTCGATACTTTCGAGTTAACCCGACTGCAAACCGGGGCAGACACTAGATGTAGCCCTTGACACGTGCAACATCTGTGGATGACTCTGCCTGTCCCGTTATCAGCCTCTCGAGTCACTTCAGAGCTCACCAACGAAGGTAACATCTCTAATAACTCATATCATTGTATTATGGCTGAATGACCGTTATAGTCGATTTCGAGTGACAGTAAAATAGTAGTAGTAGTAGTAGCAGTAGTGTGTGTGTGTGTGTGTGTTGGTATGAATGAGTAATTTTCTAGGTTCCATTGTACCGGTACTTTCAACCAGTTATATAAGTTCACTACAAATACTTCATAATTTGGGAAGCAGTTATACATTATATCAAACCTGTTATATTATCCATCTTCCACTTTGATCATATATATAGCGAACAATTTGTGTACATAACCGCCTTGACTAATGTCCCAGTCTGTGTTAATGGACCTCAGGCCTCATTCCTTAATTAAACGCGAGAGATGAAATTCAACCTTTACCATTTCATCAACGACGTGGTGAGTAAGACTACAGTCCCCGGGAATAAATTTCAGCATATAACTGTTACAAAACAGCAAATACATTACCACAAAAAATGTCCTGTTATGAGTCTTGACTTTTTCTAAACATCTTAAAAAAAAGATCACACCGTGAATATTATTTTGTATATTTCAACGTGAAATTCGTGATTTGTAAATAATGCCTCTTGACAGCTAACCACCAGGAGTGTTATAGTACCTTTGTACGCATGGGTGTTGTGCTTCCGTATTAATTCATCGTTGAATATGTTTATTAGGGGTGTCATGTATATCTCGGTATAATTTATATAATCCAAGATTCACTTGTAAAAAACGTGTAAATGATGGTTTCGGATTATTACTAATCTGATTAGATAGTCTGATGAGAATTAGTTGCCATCTGAGAATTTCTCCGGGTTGAGACGAGTTAACTGTTTCTTGTAAATCACTTTAATCCCGATGAATTAGTTCATAAATAAACTAGTTTTTTTACAATCGTATAATCAGTATTAATTTTGTGAAACAACACTAAATCAGTCAAAGTTTAGTATAAACTCAATAATTTGAGTGACAACGTGTCATATAGTGACGTCATTATTGACGGGCATTTCAGTGGAAGGAGTTGTTGCTCCAGTGACCAGTTGGAAGCCAATGCTACCGACAACTCCTTGACGAATAGACGTTCCGAAAAAAGGGACAGCTCAGTTTGCTCTTATTGCGTTAAACACAATAGTTCAACATAGTTAAGACTCAACACGGACAATGCCTCAAGATGACTTCATAAAGGGTTCATAGGCTCTTCCTATTGCAATTCAACGATGTATCTGGCAGTTCTGTGGAGAGAGGTTGATTACACAGGGGTGAAGTTGAGAGGAGGTAAATCTCTATAAACCCAACTTAATTTAATATTTACTTATGTTAATGGACCATAGTTAAATATTTTGACACACGTTGAGGCCTTTTCTATTAACAACTAAGCCATCAGATATTTCTCACACTTTGTTTTAAATAAATAAATTGCCAATGAAAGCGTTATTCAATTACTGATTAGGATTGTCTCATTTAATTTGAAAGTGATCGATTTCAAATGTCAGAAAGATCACATTAAAAAAAGAACAGTATCTAGTCCGCGTTGGATAAGTTCACTCCCCTGGGGGTATTGTCTACACTGTCACCCTTTCCTTCTGCATATCCTTTTATTGTCTATTTCCTCAGTCCCTGAAAGTACCAAGTCTAAAAGTCCATAGGTTGACCGTTTCTCAGGTCGCCAGGACCTCGACTCATTGGGTGTTCAGGTTAACCGGTAAAATATTTAGTTCCTTAGGTTGTAAAATATTTAGGTGTCTTGATTATGAATTTTCCAGATCATCAGATCGCCGGGTCGTCAGTTCCGTTGAGTTCCCGTATCTTCAAGTTCTCTGGTCGCCAGGTCATCAACCCCTCAGGTCCTCAGATGGCGCCCCAAACCCACTTACTCCCACGTGCACATGTTCCACCTCCTCACCAACTCCAATTCGTCTCTCAATGAGCGTGCCTCTAAAGCCCCGTGTTTACTTGACGGCTACATCATGGTTAACAACCACCATCACACACCTCTAGTGTTATCTTCCAATACTGAGGCACATCAGTTGTCCTGAGCGAAAAGCCTTCCTTCGAATATTCTTTTTCAACGTGTCACACTGCAGGCGGGAGTCGTTCTTGTGGAAGCGTGCCTTATCCTCTTGGTTTGCTTCTGTAGTTATGGTGGCTCTTTAAATATGTTTATTTAGCTACAGTACAAATTTTACCACAAACGAAATAATCTGTATGAGTTATAACAATAGAAACAAAAAGTTATACTGTTCCTATTTGGCAAAAACTACTACTACTGTGCTGTTACTTGGAATCGAATATGACAAACATCCAGCTATGATAAAATGATATGAGTTATTAAGGATGTCACCTTCGTCGGTGAGTTCTGAGGTGACTAAAGAGGCCAATATGGGACCGGCAGTGCAGTTCACAGTTGTTGCACATGTGGATGGCTGCATCTAGTGCAGAAGGTGCGGCGACAGCGTCTTTCCGGCGCTGTCACTTGTCTACCTCGGTTTGCAATTGGGCAAACACCAAAGTATTGACACCTTCTCGCGTGGTGCTCCTACAAGTGTTATGGTGTGGAGTAATCGTCTCCAGGGTGAGGAGGTCGATTTGACACTTTTTTCAGGTTTGTCTTAAGACTAACCTTATGCCTTTTTAGTTGCCGCCAGCGTTACGTTTACTATTCGTTAGCTAACTGTAAAGTAGCTGCTTTAGTAGTCTACTGTCGTCCATGCGAGTAATATGGCCAGTGCAACTTAGTTCTTCATGGATAATGGTCTTCCCAGCGAACTCAGAGGATGGAACGTAGACTACGTTGGTGAAAGTTTTGAAGTGCCTTGAGGTGCCTCCTGTATATGACTCATGTTTCGCTGCCATGTAGCATAGTGAGGAGGACCACTGCTCGATATACATGAAACTTTGTAGATAATTTCAGCTCCCTAAAGCTGAAGACACCGGTACGAGCCTGCCAAAGGTTTGATGAATACATCTGATCCGGTGTTCAATCTCTTCATCGATGTCCGCAATGATGTACAGAAGGGAGCCGAGATACCGAAAGTGGGTAACATTAGGGAGGGTAGTACCGTTAAGCTAGATAGATGGTGGAGGTGTGGCTGAACCAAGGGCCGGCTGAAGGAGAATCTGAGACTAACGTACATTCACCTGAAGGCCGAAGTGAGCATAAGCATCTGTGTAGGGGTTCAAGATCTCCTGTAGGTCGTGTTCAGTGTGAGCTGCCGACATCTTTGTTCCTGCATGGAATCGTCTTATGTTGAAAAGACCCTGCATCTGGTACTCGATGTCCACCCAGCTGGCTAAATTGGCAGTGGCACGAGTAAGGAAGGCAGCCAAGAAAATGGAAAAGAGAGTTGGTGCCAGTACATATCCTTGTTTTACCCATGTTTGGATGGGGAAGAACTCAGACTGGGTGCCATTGTGCAGGACACTGCCGTTCATGCATTCATGGAGTTGCCTCACAATGGCCATGAATTTTGGTGGGCAGCCAAAACGGCTGAGGGTCCACAAGAGGGCTTCCCTGTTGACCGAGTCAAAGGCCTTGGTAAGGTTGACGAAAGCCATGTACAGGTCACGACGCTGTTCAGTGCACTTTTCCTGTATCTAGCGGGCAGCAAAGTTCATGTCAGTGGTGCCACGTGTCTTTACACACACACACACACACATATATCCTTGACCTACATCCTTGACCCCCGTAGGGTCGAGACCTATTCGGGCGCTGCTCCTGTTGAGCAGAGGCTCCCCTTGGCCAATGTTCGGCCCATTCCCCAAGTCCAACTCCCCGACCTATCCTCGCCACCGGATATCAACATAATCAAAAGTGATAATTTCGTTTCGGAAAGAAGTGGGACCAGTGTTGAACAGTGATGAACAGTGTTTAAGCCAGTGAATTCAGCACTAGACAGTACCAGTGAGAGCCGTGACCCACCAGTGGGATATGCACCCCTGGGAACTGACCGCCATCTTCTGACCAGGAGGTGCTAATCAGTCCACCATGGGAACAACAGAGGGCCGGCCGGCTATGCACCTGACTACGAGATAAGACAACACCACCCAACAGGGCGAGGTACTGTGACACCACCCCACCCCACACCACCCAGTGTCCCCATGACCACGTGAGGTCCTTCATATCAACACCCGAGGACGAGTTACTGCACCACGTCAACACCACACCACCCAGTGTCTCCATGGCCACGTGAGGTCCTTCATTTCAACACCCGAAGACGAGTTACTGCACCACGTAAACATCACATTTCCTGGTATCTCCATGACCACGTGAGGTCCTTCATATCAACACCCGAGGACGAGTTACTACACCACGTGAACACCACACCACCTGGTGTCTCCATGACCAGCCTAGGCCCGGGCCATCAACTGTAAACTATAATAATTTGTATGTTCAATCATTGTTCTTTCTCCTTTCAGTAATGAAAGCTTTTGTTAAACGACCCACCCACCCCATGTTTTGTATATATATATATATATATATATATATATATATATATATATATATATATATATATATATATATATATATATATATATATATATATATATATATATATATATGCAAGTAAATCACTGTAGGTGATATATATATATATATTCATTGTTAATTTTCTATTTCTCGTTAACATTCTCTTTCATCTTATACACTAGAGCGCGCACCCTCCCACGGTAATGCAATTTGACTCTGCAACAAGTTCTCCCTTCTCGCACTGACTCCCTCTTCACTCTCTCACTGTCTTCCCTCTCACATACCTATCCTAGCTACTTTCTCTCCCATATTTCACACACACAGCTTCCCTTCTCGCTTTCTCTCATATTTTCCCGCACACTCCACTCTCACATGCCGCACTGATTTATTTTATGCTTCGTTCTCACGCCTACGTACTTCAAGTCCTCTCTCAAACACCCCGGTCTTCCATTCTCTCTCTCACCCTCACACACTCGCACTTGGGTCAACTTTTTCACTCTACATATGCCGCCCCTTTCCCTATCACACTCACCCCTCTGACCCCCTCTCAACACACTTGCCTTCCCACCTTTCCCTCCCTCTCCCTCCCTCTCACTCTCCTTCATTTCCTTCCTCTACTTCTCTGCTGTCAAGGTGTAATTAACCCCAGTCCTCACTGCAATTAACCAAGGACTTAGTATACAGGCATCTACTGTGAACTTCCCACTGATAGCCATAAACGGTGGCCTATGCATCGAGACTACTGGTAACGGAATTCATCTGGCATACTGTTAATAGCATACCTCTGGACCACTGTTAACGGTACTACACAGAGAGTCCTATTACTCAGAATATTGAATTGTTGATGGACTAGTATAATTATTAACCTTAGTTGTCGAAATGCAGTAATAACATCACAACATTACTGTACTCGGCATCTCGGACTACGGCATTTACACGTTGTAGTCTTTCTTAAACAGGAATTCATATCATCTTTGAAAAGTTTGCCAGTAAAGAAACAAATTAAGTCGCAGGTATAGGCTCGGATCAAGTTACACATACAAGTATAGTTACTGTTACAGATATGTATACAGTTAGACACAAGTACAGATGCAGTTACTTAAACAGGTACATAAACAAGTAAGAAAAACAGTTACGGGTGCAATGACAAACAAAAGTATAGAAACAGGAACAGTTAAGGTATAGATGCAACTATAGTTTTAGGTTACAGATACAGTAAAAGTTAAACATATAAACATAGGTTCAAGTATATGGTAACTGCATCAAATTATTAGTACTGTACCTTATCCAATATACATCAGAAACATACAACACACTAACATTTGCTGGAGAGAGAGACTCATAACACCAACATAATGTATTTGCGTTAACTCATCTTTATACGTCATTGGATTGTATTTGATAAAATTTAGTGTGCTTAGCCTTTTTCTCCATTGAAATATAATATACTTCAGTGTGGCCTCCCTCAGTACAGTCACCAAATCGGCCAAACATTAAACTTTCATGGAATTTTAAATTATTTATGAATCTACTCCAAAAGAGCTCTCATCAATCTTTCAAGCAGCTTTTCAACTAAAACGTTTGAAATATACATGAGCCCTCTAGTAGTGCTTTGAAAGCTTAATAAAATCCTGAAAACTGGAATTATTTTATTAAATATAATATTATATTAATAAGAACCAACAAATACGTACACATGAAAAACTGAGGCCCTTTGGTAAGCTTAATAAACCTCTCGTACATAATAATGAAGGCGGTCTTAAAGTCTTGTTGACAATGTGAATCTGAGTCGACGAACATCTCTCACTCCCCGCCAACAACACTTCACTCTCATGTGTATTGAACAGAAGAAGGTCGCAGGGACTTTCTGCTTAAACATTAACAAGCAGTCGTTAAGAAATGCAAGATAAGATATGTACCAGAAATGGGAAATCATATTGGAAACTACAACTTTTCCAGTTTTAGATCCTCCAAAGTATTTAGAGGTGAATTTTCACGAAATATATCTCTATATGTTCTATAAAATTAAGATAACGTATCTTCTTATATTTTTAATTGACAAATACTTTGAAACATTTATTCAGTACAATAAAACAGAAGCATAACTTGTTATCTAGAATTGGTAAGTTATTTCATGTTCATATTCAACCAGCACATCTCTCGCTCAAACCCAGTCTTAAGATTAAAGTGCATGGCTAAGACCTTTGTGTGAGCCGCCATATTGCATATCACTCTCTCACTCACACTGAGGTGGTATTGCAGATGCAATATATTCTAGTGCATTTATGGAAATGACTGTGGCGAGTTAAGAATGGAATTCAATGCACGTTATCTCTGACTGATACTTTCACAATGTGTAGGTGTTCCTTCTTGCATCCACAGAACACTCTCTGCTTTCACAGGATATTGGTGTTTCAACTTTAATTATATCGGTGTTTCTTTCGGAATGCAAAACACGTTGGTGTACTGCCTATATTCACAAGACATTGTTGCTTTTTCCTGCCTTTAAAGAGTATTGATATTCTTTCTTGCGTTCACTGCAAATTCGTTCTCTTACTTGCATTTACAATTTAGTAGAATTCTTTCACTCATTCATATAATAACAATACTTCTTCTTACATTTAAAATACATCGTTGACCTTTTCTGCAGTTACATATTACGGTCCTTACCTTAGCAGCCATAAAATAATGGTGATTCCTACTCATTTCACGGCCTACTGTGGTTTTTCCGGCATTTTGCAGGTAATGTAGTTTCTCCCTGAATTTGCAACTTATAGCTGATTCTTGCTTATTCTCTGCATTCAGAGCATAAAGGTGTTTCTTGCGTCACGTGTCGCTTTCATAATGATTCTCAGATTTACTTGTGACTAGAGGAGAGCGTCCATGCAATTAGCGAAGGTGTATGCAAAGTGTGACCGTGAGTCCCAATTATGCCCGAAGAGCTGGACTGGATGGTAACGCCCTGTGTGGACCATTCCTGGAACACATACCATCTCCCGAGCGACCTACTGCATTAACACGTTAACTGGTATATGCGCTTTGTATATTATTAACACATTGAGTTATATTCAGTCAAACAACCTATTAAGGGAACTGTTTTCATATCGATTTTCGTTCACATTGATATTAAAGCAATCTTTTTTTATTCCGGTTCCTTATGTATGTGTTTGCTGTGCTATAAAGAGTCACAAAAGGTTGGAGATTCATAGTTGGCATGATTATCTCTTTACAGGTGCCAAGGCATTCGTTGAAAAAATCTCCACCCATTAAAATATTCGGCGCAGATGATTAGTTTAGTTGGTGAAGATGTCACTCCTGATTTCTTGTTTCTTGTGTGGGTTAGAAGACGGAGAGTTTGTAAATATAGAAATATATTTTATTGTCTTCCTGGGGAGCTTCATTGTTAAAATAATTTTTGTAATACATAAACAATAGTTAAATATCACCAAAAATAGGAAAGCGTTTATACGGTAGTAGGCAGCTATCAAACAGGGAGGTACTACCGCCTGGGAAGATATTGGAACCATAATGTATTGTCTTATGGTAGACCCTGCTGCCATATGGCATCACGAAAATTGTGACTAAGTCCCAGGTTGCTGATCTGACTTTTTGCCTCATTTACACACAATTGCTGGGTCTCAATTGTTTCTCTTACCATTGACAACACAACATACATATTGTATATCGTTTCTCACTATATTATTTCATTTTTGTATTTATTTATGGTTATTATTGTTATTAATATTTTTATTTTATTATTAATAATATTATTTATTTTTAATAATGCTATTATTAATGATGATGGAGGTGATGCTAATAATAATAATAATAATAATATTATTATTATTATTATTATTGCTGTTATTGTTATTATTGTTGTTATTATTATTATTATTAATTATTATTAATATTCTTCTTCTTATTATTATTATTATACCCCCCCCCCCAGGCCCTAATGTTGGTCAGTGACCTGTGCCCGGGTGGGCTAATCCCCGCAAGAAGAGAGAGAGAGAGAGAGAGAGAGAGTTTTTGTATAAATCCGTACATTTCAAATTCAACTTCAGTGCATCTCTGTCTGGTAGATCTAGAGATGGACAATGTACGTGTACCCCGGTGGGGTGCGCAACCGCCTGCACTACGCACGAAGGTGTAAAAGAGAGCGAGGCACCGGTGGTACGAATGTTTCAAAAGGAACCCGCTCATCCCGCCTCATCTCGGTGTGGCTGACACACGCGTCTATTTGTCAAACCCTCGCGGCCGCGTGTGTTTAATGCGTGTGTTAGCCACACCGAGATGAGGCGGGATGAGC